GGGGGCTCCAGCAGCAGTACCTGGATGTCCTGGTTCAGCAGGGCCTTGGTGAGGCGCTTCAGGGACACGGCCACGTTCTCTGGGAAGCCTCCCCGGCGGTTCAGCAGCGGGATCCGGGACGTGTCCCGGGTGAGGGCTTTGGGGTGGGAATACCGGAGCGCCTTGAAGTCGTTGTGGATGGCGTGGCCCACCACGACCTTCCCAGCCAGGATCCGCAGCACCTGCACGGGAGAGGGTGGGATGGGGGGAGGTTAAGACCTCTGGCAGTGCCCTCTGTGCTCTGTGGGAAGCGGCTGCCCCACGAGGACATGGAGCAGCCCCACTGCCAGGCTGAGTGGGAATGGCACTGTGGGGGCACAATCCCGGTGCTGCAGAGGGCAGCTCTGGACCCCCCACAGCCCCTGAGCCGCAGAGCTCGGCCCCCCACCCCCAGTCCATGAGCCCAGCCCACACCTCCAGCTCCATGACCCCCACCCTTGGCCCAGCGTCCCCAGCCCACAAGACACAGAGCCCGGCCCTGCAGCCCCCCCCCAACTCCCACACAGCCTCCCACCCCAAGCCCACAATCCCTACCCTGCACTCTCCACTCCAGCTGGGCAGCCCCTCACCCCCAACCCCACAGCTCCCCACCCCTCAGCCCCCCCCCCAACCTATAGCCCTGACCCCAGCCCCTGAGCTGCAGAGCTCAACCCCCTACCCCTGGCCCAGCATTCCCAACCCCAGCCCCATGACCCCCAGCCCATGAGACACAGAGCCCAGTCCTACATTCCTCCACCCAGCCCCACACCCCTCACCCCGCAGCCCCCCCACTCCCACCGAGCCCCCCATCCCAGCCCTGGTCCCATAGCTTGACACTTCCAGCCCTGCAGCCCCTCACCCTGGTTTTGCAGCCCCCACCCTGGCCCCACATCCCTCACTCCCAGCCCTGCAGCCTGACACCCCCAGCCCCACTCCCCCCCAACACTCCCAGCCCTGTGCCCCCAACCCCCCATTCCAGTCCCATCCTCCAACCTGCAGACCCTGGCCCTGCATCCCCCACCCCCATTTCCACTCCCCCTCCACCCTCACAACCCCTACTCCCACCCCTGAGCCCCCCACCACAGCTTCAGCCCCACACTCCCACCCCTGAGCCCCAACCCCCCATTCCAGTCCCCTCCCCTGACCCGCAGACCCCGGCCCCATTCCCACGCCCCCCCAGCCCCCCAGGCCGCCCCCCGGCCCACCTGCCGCTGTGCCTGCTGGAAGGGCACGGCTTTGTCCATGTGCTGCCGGCGGATGCCGCTCCAGCGGGTCCGGTAATCCACGATGGGCGCCTCGGGCCGCACGTACCGGTCGTACACAACGTCCCCGTCGTAGGACACGATGCTGCACCGAGCCAGGGCGCTGGTCCGGCCCCCGGGGCCCGTGCCCACCATCTCGCAGTCCATGGCCAGCAGCTTGGTGGGCGCCGGGGGGGCTCCGGCCACCGCCCCCCGACCCCTGCCCTTGGTCTTTACGCGGCCGTTCTGGGGCGCCGAGGGGGCGCCGGTGGATTCGGGGGTGCCCCCAGCAGCCCCCCGACCCTTCCCTTTGGTTTTAGAGGGAACGCCGGTCCCGGCAGAGCCGTTCTCTTTAGGGCACGACGCGGGGGGCTTCGCCGGGGTCCGCCAGGGCCCGCCCCGGTTCGGGGGGAGCTGCTTCTGCCGCAGGACCCCCCGGCGCTCCAGCTCCCGCCGCCGCCGCACGAAGCTCTGGTGCTTTCGGTTGCCCCGTTCCTTCTTGGGGCGGCCCTCGGGGGCGGTCAAGTCCACGTTGAGGATCAAATCCCCCATGGCGGGACCGGGGAAGCGGGACGGGGCTGCTGCGGCGGGGGGAGGCGGCTCAGCGGCGGGGGAGCCGCGGCACCGGGGAGCGCCCGATACCCAGGACCCCCAACAGCGGCACCGGGGACCCCCCACACCCGGGACCCCCCACACCCCAAGCACCGGCACCGGAGAGCCCTTGGCACCGGGAGACCCAACACCTGGACCGCCAAGCACCGGCACCGGGAGACCCCTCGACACCGGGACCCGGGACTCCGGGCACCGGGGCCCCCTGACACCCCAAGCAGCGACACCGGGGACCCCTCGGCACCCGGGACTCCTCGACGACCCCCAGCACGGACCGCGGGACCCCCCCGCCCCCCCCCCCCCCCCAAACTCACCTCCGCGGCCCGGAACCGGAAGCTGGCGGGCGGCACGTGGCCGGCCCGCTAACGGCAGTGACGTCATCGACCCGCGCCGCGCTGGGAGTGCGGCTCGCGCCGGGCGGCGCGCGCGGGCGGCGGCGGCGGCTCCGTAACGCCACCCGCGCCTGCGTTACGTCACCGGTGACGTCGAAAGAGACGTTACAGATCACCGGCGTTGGCCCGGGGGGGTTGTTGCGGCCTGCCCGGTGTCCTGGCCGGCCCGGGGAAGTCGCAGGTGCTCGAAGGCGAGCGGCGCCCCTGGGTGACGTCGTGGCGTCGGGGAGGGGGGTGTCACAGCCGCGTGACGTCATGGGGCGGAAGGGGTTATTGCGTCCTCGCGTGACGTCACGGTCTGGTGACGTATTACGACCGCTGGACGTTGATGGGCACGGCCAGGGGGAGGTGGGGTGAGACCTGGGGTGACATCTGAGCCCCATAGGGACACATCTTGCAGTGATGTCAGAGTGCCAGGGGACACGTCCCAGGGTGACGTCAGAGCCCCAAGGGTGACATCAGAGCTCCAGGGCTGACACCCCCTCTCTGCCACCCACAGGTGCTGCCATGGCAGCTACTCCCCATCTCATCCTGCGGCCACCGGAGCACCCGGAGCAGCCGCTGGAGAACCCAAGGCACCCGGAGCAGCTGCCAGACCCGGAGCAGCAGCGGGAGCAGCAGCGGGATCACCCGGAGCAGCCACTGGAGCACCGGGAGCACCTGGAGGAGTCACCAGAGCAGCGTCGAGCCGCTGACATCATCCACCTCCTGAGCCTCTACCGGCCCCTGATCGACGCCTTCGTCATCGTGAGTGTCCCCACGTCCCCCCAGGCCCCCCCCCGGCCATGTCCCCCCAGCCGTGCCCCCCACTAACCCCCCTCCCGCAGGATTTCTTCACCGAGCGGTTGTGGGCACAGCTGCCCCCGGCCTGGCAGCCCGCCCTGGACAGTGCCACCCCCCAGCAGCTGGCCGGGCTCCTGGGGGGCCGTGGTGGCCCCGGGGCCGCCTGGCCCCTGTCCCTGCTGGCCTTCGCCGCCGCCGCCCGGGCCCTCGCCTTCCCCCGGGGCCGCCCGTGGGGGACCCCGCGCCAGAGCCCCCGCCTGCACCCGCTGCTGCGCCGCCACATCAAGCTCAAAAAGCAGCATGAGATCCAACGCCTTGGCAAGGTGGGTGCCCCCTCTGCCTCCCCTGCAAGCCTCCAGCTCTCCCCCAGCCCCACAACACCCCCTGTCCCCACAGCTGCTGCAGCGGCTGAGCCAGAGCACCGGCTGCCAGCGCGTGGTGGATGTCGGAGCGGGGCAGGTGAGAGCAAAAGCACACGGGGGGGGGACACAGGGGGGCTCTGGGGAGATCCCCCCACCCCCTCTGAGCACATGTCCACCCTCGCAGGGCCACCTCTCCCGCTTCCTGTCCTTCGGCCTCGGTCTGTCGGTCACGGCAGTGGAGAGCGATGGCCGCCTGGCCGGGGTGGCCAAGTGCTTTGACTGGGAGCTGCTGCGTGAGCTGCAGAAAACGGGGGCCTCGGGGCACGGGGGGCACCCCCGGCGCCGCCCAAACCACCCCCTGAGGCCCCTCACCCCCCGCGCCCCGCGCCACGTCCCTGGGCGCCTCGACCCCGCCGCTCCCTGGGGGGAGTTCCTGCTGCCCCCTGACCCGCCGGGGCCTGGCCCCGCCGCCCAGAACCCGCTGGGGGGCCCGGGGGGCTCTGAGGACGGGGGGCCGGTGCTGGTGACGGGGCTCCACGCCTGCGGCGACCTCAGCCCGGCGCTGCTGCGCCACTTCGCCCGCAGCCCGGCCGTGGCCGCCGTGGCCTCCGTGGGCTGCTGCTACATGAAAGTGTCGACCGCCCCGCAGCCCCCCGGCTGCCCCCCACCGGGGTACCCCCTGAGCGCCACGGTGGCGGCGCTGCCGGGCCACCAGCTGTCGTACCGGGCGCGGGAGGCCGCGTGCCACGCGCGGGAGGAGTACGAGGGGCGGCTGCGCAGCGGCGGCGCCCGCCTGTGCACCCACTGCTACCGCGCCGCCCTCGAGAGCCTCATCCAGGCCGCCGACCCCGCCAAGAGGCACCTGGGCCTGCAGGCGGGCAGGAACGCGCACACCCTCGGCTTCCACCAGTGAGTTTGGGGAGGGGGGACCCCCTTCTGGGACCCTCCTGGCCCCCAGCGAGTTTGGGGGAAAGGGACCCTCTTCTGGGACCCTTCTTGTGAATTTGGGGAGCGGGAGACCCCATTCTGCATCTCCTCCCGGGCCCCAGTGATTTTGGGGAGGGAGGACCCCTTTCTGTGATTCTCTTCAGGAGTTTGGAGAGGGGGGGACCCCCCTTTTTTTGGACCCTTCCTGGGGCCCTGTGAATCTGGGGAGGGGGGACCCTCTTTTTTGGGACCTTTCCTGGCCCCCAGTGATTTTGGGGAGGGAGAGACCTCTTCCTGGGACCCTCCTCATGAGTTTGGGGAGAGGAGACCCCTTCCTGGGACCCTCCTCATAAGTTTGGGGAGGGGGGACCCCCTTCTGGGCCCCTTCATGGGCCCCTGTGAATTTGGGGAGGGGAACCCTCTTTTTCATCCCCTCCTGGCCCCCAGTGATTTTGGGGAAGGCAGATCCCCTTCTGGGACCCTCCTCCTGAGTCTGGGGAAGGAGGACCCTTTCCTGGGACCCTGCCAGCCCCCCATGTGACTGTTCCCCCCCAGATACGCCCGCCTGGGGCTGCGCCTGGCAGGGCTGGACCCGTCGGGGGTCCCTCTGGACTCGGGGGCCGTGGAGGCCATGCTGGAGCAGCAGCACAAGGTGCTCGCGTTCTGCACCCTGAAGCAGCTCCTGGCACCTGTCGTGGAGACCCTCGTGCTGCTCGACCGCCTGCTGTACCTGCGGGAGCGAGGTGGGCACGGCCAGGGGCCTCCCCCTCCCCTCCTTCTCTTCAGCCTTCTCCTCTCTTCCTCTCCTCTTTTTAGCTCTCCTCTCTCCTCCCTTTCCTCTCTCTCAGCCCTCCTTTTCTTCCCGACCCTTCTTCTTCACTCTCTTGACCCTCTCTCCCGATCCCCCTTGTCTTCTCTCCTGGCCCCCCTCTCTTCCCTCTCCTGATCCTCTTCCTCCTCTCTCCTGACCCTGTCTCCCAACCTTCCCTCCCTCTTCTCACTCCGATTCTCTCTCCCAACCTTCTCTCTGACCCTTCCTCTTCTCTCTTTCCTCTCTGCCAACTCTCCTTCTTTTCCCGAGCTTCCCTCTCTTCTCTCCTGGTCCCTCTCTCCTCTTCTGGCCCTCTCTCTCCTCTCTCCTGACCCTCCTTCTTCTCTCTCCTGACTCTCTCTCTGCCAGTCCTCCTGATCTTCCTTCTCCTCTCTCCCAACCCTCCCTCTCCTGTCTCCTCTCTCCCAACCCCGCTTTCCTTCCTCTGGACCCTCATCCTCTCCTTTCTTGACCCTCTCTCTCCTTGCTAACCCTCTCCTTGCTCTGATCCTCTCTCCTGACCCTCTCTCTGACACTCCCTCTCCTCTCCCCCAGGTTTCCACTGTGCCCTCGTGCCCCTCTTCAACCCCCTGTTCTCTCCACGGAACCTGGTGCTCGTGGCCGCGCGGACCCCGCTGGCCGCGGTGCTGGCTGAGGACAGTGAGGATGGGGACAGCAGCGAGGACGAGGACCCAGGGGGCTGAGAGCCCCTCGGGGAGAGCAGAGCCCCCCTGCCCCAGGCACAAACCACAATAAACCCACGATTTTTACTGCCTGGGGCTGGGTGTGAGCGAGTTGGGGCTGCACTGAAAGCGCCACAAACATGGAAAATCAAGGGGGGTGTTTATTGCAGAACCCAACCCGGGGGGAAGTCTGCCCCCCCCAGTTAATACCAGTAGGATTTCTTGGCCCGCCGTGTCTCCACAATGCCCATGGCGTCCATGATCTCCTCCTCGAAGGTCTTCAGGGACGGCTTGTACGTCTTGGCCAGCGCGTCCTCCACTGACGTGTCCTTGGGGCCGTCTGTGCGGGTGAGGGGACAGCAGAGTTGAGCCCCCCGTGCCTTCCCCACGTCCCCCCAGGCCCTCTGCCACCCCGCTCACCGATCCAGTTCTCGGGCACGATGCCATCCCGGCGTGGCTGCGGGGGCACGGGCAGGATGCGGCCGCTGCGCAGGGACACACGGACGCGCTCGCCCTCCTCCGTGTACCTCCACTCCACCTCCGTGGGCTTCCTGCGGGCACACGGGTGGTGGGAGGGGGCAGAATGGCACGGGGGGGCCTCAGTGGAGTCTCCTCAGCCCCCCCCCAGCTGTTACCTGTCCTCAGGGTCCACCAGGCTGATCTGGTTGAGCAGCAGCGGTGCCTCACTGGCGATGTAGGTCCCGGAGTACTTGGCCGTGCGGTTGATGTAACGATAGTGCTGCGAGGGGATCTGGGGTCACTGACAGCCCATGACCCCCCCAGCCTCCATAGCACTCCCCTGAATGCCTCCCCAGCCTCACCGTGTTCAGCCCTTCCACCACGACCCAGTTCCGGGGGCGCACGACCTGGGTGACCCTCCCCTGCTTCCCTGCGTCCTTCCCGGTCAGCACCTGGACCTGTGGGGGGAGAGGGGGTACAGCTGGGACCCCCAGCCTGGCCACCAGCCTGGAGGGGAGCCCTGGGAGGAGGGGGAGACTCACCGTGTCCCCCCAGAACACCTTCCAGTCGTCCTCGGCGATGGGCTCCACGAAGACCTTGCGGCGGCGCTGCCCGGGGGGGGTTGCGGAGCCGGGCGGCCGCGCTGTCGGGGGGCCACGTCCCGTGGCGGTACCCCAGGGGCAGCCGCGGCCGCGCCGCGCTCAGCAGGGCCGAGAGCCGCATGGTGCTGGGGGTCGGGGGGTCAGGGGGGGCCCTGTGACCCCCCGGGGACACCCCTCGTGCTCCCGGGGGCAATGGGTGTCCCGGGGTGGGGGCATGCGGGGTGATGCTGGAGCCCCCCGCACCCCAAAGGGGAGCCAGGGCCTGGGAGAGCCCCCCCACAAAGAGGATCCAGGTGTCTGGTAGAGCAGCCCCCCCCCAAAGGGGATACGACACCCAGCAGAGCCCCCACTACCCCCAAAGAGAACCCAGGGGTCCCGCAGGGGCACCTCCC